ATGTTGTTGTAGTCCGGGGCCCAACAACGCAATCTGATCCGCAAGGCTTTCCCTGTCACAAAAACAGGGTGCGAGCCCTGGAGGAAGCACTTCAATTGAAAAAACCAATGGGCACCGGACAGGGGGGATCAACAACAATTATTCTTCAGAAGTGAGAGTTCATCAACAACAACAACACCAACAACAACAACAACAACAGCAACAGCAACAACAGCAACAACACCAATAACAACAACAACAACAACAACAACAACAACAACAACAACACCAACAGCAACAACAACAACACCAACAACAACAACAATAACAACAATTACTAGCACGTGGGGACACACCGTTCTCACCAGTGCCAGGGTTTTCATAGGAGGCGGGCAATACCCCCACTTTGTGGGGGGGCCGGTTCAAGCTCTACCAAATTTCCAAACGACTCTTCGCCACCACCCACACCCAGCTTCCCGCCCTATGACGTTCGGACACTTCACTTCGTGGCATGCGGACGACCGTGGCTACTATTCAGGGCCCCGCGGCCGACGACGACGGCGTGCGCGCGCGAAGAAAAAACGAATGTGTCCCGCATGGTATTATTTGACAGGGATGATGGCCCTGGCAGGTGCGCAACCGTTGTTGCAGAAGTTCGAAAAAGTTGCTCGCAAAAGCCCGTTTGACAGAAATGATTAAAAAGTGTTGGGTTTCCTACGAATCCGCAAGAGCGCGCGGGATGAAATTTTGACATTTTTGTGTTTGAAAAACCATTGGTTTTTTTTTTGATGTTTTTATGTTAAAATCGCTACGAAAACTAAGGTTTTGGAAGGATTTCGTCTTGCGCGCGCGAATGTCCACTTTACCTTATTTTTGCAAGGGATTCTTGAAGTTTGGTTATGTTAGAACAAGAAATGTCCACTTTAGCTTATTTTTTGCAAGGGGAAACCGATCGTAACAACACAACCTGATCCGGACCAACCCGTTTTGCCTGAGACTTCCTCACGAAAATGATGAAAATGAGGCTGCGGCCTAGGCGCGGCGGGGGGGTCGTGCACCAGGGGTCCCAACAATAATTATTCTTTAGAATTAATAATGTTCAACAACACCAACAACAACAACAACAACAACAACAATAGCAGTACTAATAACAACAACAACACTAACAATCAGTTTAATACTGTTCGCCATTTATTGCTCGAGTGTCCAATAACGCCTATTTCCCAAACCCTCGGTACCCGCCCTCTTCGTTTTCGATCGAACCCCTTTTGGAGAATATACCTTTCTTCCCTGCAGGCCGGGCCCCGGCAAACGGCGGGGCGGCCGCGGACCGTCGGCCTGGCCAGCGGCAGGGCTGATCGGCGGGGCGGCCGCAAACCGTCGACCCGACCCCAAGAGGGACGGACAGGGGACCGACCACGACGACGACGACGACGACGTCGACGACGACGGCGACGACGACGACGACGGCGACGCCGACGACGAGCGAAAGCGAAAGAGAACGACAGCAGGGCCACAAGGACACGAAGTAGGCCACGAAGGGCAACAGCGGGGACACGAAGGGAATGCGTATGGGGCCACGAAGAGAGCGAAGGAGCGGGGGCCACGAAGGGCAGATAATGCGGGGCCACAGAAAGCAACGATGGGGTCACTGAGGGTAGCAACTGGGCCACGAAGGGCATACATATATGGGGCCACGAAGGGCAGCGAGGGGGCCACGAAGGGATGCAACGGGACCACGAAGGGCAGCGCGGGGGCCACGAAGGGCTGCAACGGGGCCACGAAGGGCTGAAAGGGGGCCACGAAGGGCAGCGAGGGGTCCACGAAGGGCTGCAAGGGGGCCACGAAACAAAGCGAGGGGGCCACGAAGGACTGCAACGGGGCCACGAAGGGCAGCGAGGGGGCCACGAAGGGCTGCAACGGGGCCACGAAGGGCAGCGAGGAGGCCACGAAGGGCTGCAAGGGGGCCACGAAACAAAGCGAGGGGGCCACGAAGGGCTGCAACGGGGCCACGAAGGACAGCGAGATCCGGATTCCTATGTAATCTGTGAGGGAGTCCTCAGCGTGAGCGCGACTCCTGGGTGCCTGGGTGTCGGCAGCGCGGCGCGTAAGTAAATTGCAAGAAATTCCAACGCAAGGGCGCTATTCTTCAGTAAATTGCAAGCAAGTCTCCAGCGAGAGCGCGACTCCAGAGCGCCGGGAGAATAAATTCTAAGGAGGTCCCAAGCGAGAGCGCGATTCCTGAATAAAACGCGCGGAAGTCTCGGGAGGGAGCGGGGGTCCTGGCTAAATGGTGAGGAAGTCTCAGGCGGGAGCCGTTGTTGTTGTAAACCGGGGGCCAACGACACAGTTTGACCCTCAAGACTTTCCCTGATGAAAAACAGGGTACGAGCCCGGGGAAGGGCACTTCAATCGGAAAAAAACAATGTGCACCGGACGGGGGGGATCAACACTAACTATTCTTCAGAAATGAGGGTTCAACAACAACAACAACAACAACCACAACCACAACCACAACCACAACCACAACAACAACAACAACAACAACAACAACAACAACAATAGCAACAAGGATCCGCATCGCGGAATTCCACTTCGACCACGCACCCAGGGACAGTGAATGACCGTTCGGTTCAGCCCCCTCGCTCTGATATTGGATTGGTGGACAAACCTTTCCCTAATCATGTGAAGGCTGGTGTATTGATTAGAGATACTGCGAGGGGGTAGGGCGGAGGAGCCACGACCACGACCACCACGACGACGACGACGACGAAGACGACGACGACGACGACGAGACGACGACGAGACGACGACGACGACGACGACGACGACGACGACGACGACGACGACGACGACGACGGCGGCGGCGGCGGCGACGGCGGCGGCGGCGGCGGACGGCGGCCGATGATGACGAAATCCTGGCAGACATATCGAGAGCCCTAGTTGATCACCCCCTCCCGGTTGCCAGGGCCGCTGGGGGGTGGGGATGGCTACGGCAGGTTCGTGTCGTGCCGACCCCAGCGTTGGTTTTTGACACCGCAGGGATCATTCAACCTTGAACGATCGGCCGCTGCCGCAACGTCCGATCGTTCAACATCGATCGATTCTGGGTCGCCGGCGGCGTTCAATGTTGAACGCCAGCGTCGGGGTCGCCGCTGGTCGACACGACGCAAACCTACCGTAGTTGATCACCCCCTCCCGGTTGCCAGGGCCGCTGGGGGGTGGGGATGGCTACACGTCGGTCGGAAGAAGTAGGTAAAAACATGAAGTAGGAAGGCGGATTAAGTTGATTGGGTCCAGGCCCCCCCAGAGAATAACAAAACACAGCAAAAGCGTGCCGATTCTTGAAGTAGGAAGGCGCTTGAAGTAGATTGGGATCTATACATCCAAAAATACCTACTTTCAACGACCAGCGTGTACATCAAACAGACGCTCTGGCCACCAGCCCTGAAGCTCCGAAGGAGGAGGGAGGGAAGGGCAGCGCTGCAAGGGGGATGGGGGGGGGGCAGGAGAGATTGAGGCAGGGGACGTGGGGATATAGCGGGCGGAGCAGGGGGAGAAACGGCGAAGGAGGGTGGAAGAGGGAACTGGAGCAGGAGGAGCAGGAAGGTGGTGGAGGTACAGGACTAGGATTAGGTCGGGCGTGTCCCCCTACAGTCGGATTTTGGACGAGAAATGAAAAGTAGCTAAACAAATACTCCAACTTGGGCAAACATCGGAGGTTGGGGGGTGAGATCGAAAGGGAACGGAGAGCCCCCCACCGGGAAATCGGTTTCGGTTTCGTGTTCGTGCGTGCCGTGCGTGCGGGCGAGGCGAAGCTGCGTGGGCGGACGAGAGGGAAGTCTCCTGTGGCTGAGGCGCGGCCGGACCAAATGATTCCCCCCCCCCCGGCAAACGGGGCCGCCCAGTGTCCCGCGCGGTGTCCCGCCGGTGTCCCGCTGGTGCCCTGGTAAGTCTCCTGTGGCTGAGGCGCGGCCAGACCAAATGTTTCCCGACCAGCAAACGGGGCCGCGCGGTGTCCCGCCGGTGTCCCGCCGGTGTCCCGCTGGTGTCCTGGTGTCCCGCTGGTGCGAAAACGACAGTGAGACCGATAGTGAGATCGATTGTGAGATCGCTTGTGAAATCGATAGTGAGATCGATAGTGAGATCGATCGAGTGAGATCGATGGTGAGGTCGATTGTGGGATCGATAGTGAGAGCGAAAGTGGGATCTATGGTGAGATCGATTGAGTAAGATCGATAGTGAGATCGATCGAGTGGGATCGATAGAGAGATCTATAGTGAGATCGATAGTGAGATCGATGGAGTGATATCGATAGTGAGATCGATAGTGAGATCGATGGAGTGATATCGATAGTGAGATCGATAGTGGGATCGAAAACGAGATCGACAGTGAGATCGACAGTGAAATCGATCGAGTGAGACCGATAGTGAGATCGATCGAGTGAGATCGATAGTAAGGTCGATCGTGAGATCGATCGTGGGATCGATAGTGAGACCGATAGTGAGATGAACATCGAAATGCAAATCGAAATGCACCGAAAGGCTCCCAAGAGGCACCCAAGAGGCCCCCAAGAGCCCCCCAAGAGGCCCCCAGGAGCCCCCCAAGAGGTCCAAAAGACGCGCCCAGACGGCCCCCCAAGCCCTTGTAAAATGAACAAACAAAAATATTATGTCATTAGTTCCCGGGGGGGGGGGAACTAAACAACTCGACACCAAGGCTCCCAAGAGCGAGCGGCAACGCAACAATCTCCACTGGCATCGTCAGAACAACAATCACCACTGTTGTCCATTGCTGGCCCCCTCCCCCCCCCCAACCTCCTTATCACCCGCAGGGTGGTCGTATAGGTAATCAAAACATCGTCCCCTGATTATTTTGACTTCTTTGGAATACTCCCCCTGCAGAGGGACAGGCCCGACTCAGGACCAGGAGGATGACGCTGCTCCCTGCTCCCGCGGCCAAGCAAGACCGCGTGCCCAGCGGCGGGGGCCCGCTCCATGGCACGCGGCCGGGCGAGGCGCCTTCTGCTCCGCCAGGGAGTGCTGCTCCCGCGAGATCTCGGCGCCGAGCATCGACACCGACCTGGCCGCCGCGAGCCCCTTTCCTATCCTCTGCGACGGCAGGAAGGAGGCCGAGGACGAAACGTCGGAGGAAGGAGGGCCATCGGGAGCACGAGCTGACGCACGGTCGGGATCATGAGGAGTGGACGCAGGGGCAGGAGCAGAGGCACGAGGGGGGACGGGGAGGAAAGGACGACGAGGAGGGCGAGAATGACGAGGCGAGGAAGCGTGGCGGAAGGGGGATGGGGAGGAGGGGATTGAGGAGGACAATTGGGGGGGATGAGTCAACATCATGAGGATGATGGTGAGGATGGCGAGGCGGCGGCGGCGGCGGCGTAACTGCACATGTCCCTGTCAGCTGGGCATTAGAAGGAGGTGGAGGCAGGGCGCGTATGGGCAATACGCCAACGTCGGTGTCGAGAAGGGCCGGGGTCCCCACCCCAACGATCGATTGGGGACTCCCCGACCGCAGCGCAGGACACACAGCCGGACCCCAGCAGAGGGGACAACGAAAGGGGAACGACGGAGGAAAGAACGCCGGGCGGGAGGAGGGGAGAGGCCACGGAACAGGAGAGCACACGCAGAACCTGCAGAGGGCACAGCCGCGGAAGAGTGGCAGGCGAGAAGAAGCAAGCAGCACATGGAGGGGGGGGCTGACTGAACAAATTCTGTGCCCAAGAAAATTTGAGAGACAGTCTCTCTCAGCAAGAACTACGCATGTACATTCGATTCAACACAATCGCGCACAACAGAGATCAGGCACGGAGCAAAAGGGGTCGTCGGCCACGGCCTCCGCCACCGGCCCTCCCTGTGACTCCTCGTCCTCGACGTTTCGCACATGGGGGGTTCCATTCTCCTTGAAACGCCACTCTCCCGCGCTCAAGAGCGGATCCAAGGAAAGAGGGGGGGGGCAGGCCGGAGGGGCGGAGGAGGAGCAGAGGAAGAGGCAGAGACGGCAGAGACTGGGGTGGATCCAATCCTAGGCTTCTCTCCTCGCCGCGACGATGGCGGCGGGCTCCTTTGAGCATATTCTCGAATGAATGATGAATCCTACGCCCTCCGAATGGTTTTCGGACGTGGGGCCGACTTCGCTGTACTCCCGGGCGCCAGGAAGAGCTGACTGATCGCGGCATTCATAGAATGTGCACTGCGCCTGACCACAGTGGGACCACTCCAGAGTCAGGGCGTTCCACTTCACCATTTCACACGAGATCTAGGAAGTGTCACGCTTGCCACTCTTACCTGCGTGGTGTGTGTGCTGCGTACATGTGCTGTATGTCTGCTGTGCGTATGTGCTGTCAGCGCTATTGCAGATGAGAAGGAGAAGGAGAAGGAGATGGAGAGGAGGGAGTTGAGTATGATGCAGTCAATGGGCACTCCAGGTGTGCGGCTGTCTGCATGTGGATGTCAGATCGCCTGATGCACGCGAGCGCTAGGAAGTGTCACGCCTGCCACTCCTACCTGCGCGTGGTGTACATGCGTGCTGTGTACATGTGCTGCATGTATGGTGTGCACATGTGCCGAGAAGGAGGATGAGGAGGGGTGAGGAGAAGATGCGGGTGTGACGCGGGTGGAAAGAAAACAAGAACCCCGCGAAACATGCTGGGATAAACAGAACTTCCCTTAGCATACAGGTCCTCCCCGACATGCTGCTGCCGTTGCCAAGGACACGCTCCAGCTCCTCGCCTGCATCCCGGGTACGCGTTCCCTCCAGACAACAGATATGATATGGCTTCCCTGGGGCACGGAGTGAAGGCTCGGCGTCTTGACCGTAGGGATAGCGGGAGTGTCGAAAGCACCGAGGCCAACCGACGGGCCCTGCTTCATGCTCTTGATCCCCAAGCTAGAGGCCTCCTAGATGGGGTCGGAGTAGGTGGGGTCGGAGGATGGCGCCGCATCGACGATACATCGGCGATGCATCGGCGATGCATCGGCGATGCACCAGCGATGCATCGTCGACGTCAGCGATGAATCGGCGACGTCGACGCGAAGCAAATCGGGCTCCACATCGAGCCGCATCGGCGATGCATCGGCGATGCGGCGCGCTCCTTCGACCCCATCTGCTCCGACCCCACCTAGGAGGCCTAGACAAGCTCCTATCTTCGACCGCACCCGGGCGGGGGCCCAGGGCCGCCCTCTGCTTCCCGCCCCAACTCCAGCCCCGAGGTGCCAACCACACTGCGTGACAACGAAGCGCCGATCTCGGACCCCCGCTCGCTTGCAACGCCCAACCGCATCACGAAGGGCCTCGAAGGCGAGGGAACGCCAGCTGGCACTCCTCAGGATTAAGGATGACACCTTTCCCACGACCAGCGTCGCCCATGCTCCGCGGCAGGCGGTGCTCCGCGTGGCGCGTGCTCGAGCGGCGCCGCCCCCCCGCAGCGCTGTCGCCGTGGCTGCCGCCGTTGGCCTCGTCGTCGCCGTCGTCGCCGTCGCCGCCGCCGTTGGTCGCCGTCCGACGACGACAACGACGACGACGACGACGACCAAAGCTTCCCACTTAAGGATGCGCAACATGCTAGGTAAGACGGTGATCAAGTCAACGCCAGTGGCTCTGAGATCACCGGCGAACGCATCTGGCACGAGCGGCGCAGAGGTGGGCAAGCTGCCGGAGGCGGCGGCGAACAGGGTCAAAGCAGATGCTGAAGACGAGGATGCCGTTCAACGGGCAGCCCTGCTCCTCCTCCTCCTCCTCCTCCTCCTCCTCCTCCCTCCTCCTCCTCCTCCTCCTCCTCCTCCTCCTCCTCCTCCTCCTCCACCTTCTCCTCCCCCTGAATGCCGTCCCCAACCATGATGGGGCGCTTCTGGGAGCCATGAAATACCCCCTACATCATGCAGTCAGCATATAACGCCTGGACCGCAGAGATACTAAGCCCGGGGATGCCCAAGGCCCTCGAGACAGCCCATAGAAAGAACATGATGGACGGAAGGGAACGCGGCTGACAGGTCGAACATGGCCGACCCTGCATTTTTACAGACACACATTCCAGACCAGATAGCCAGGTTAGCGTCGACCTCCAGACTGCGATCCAGGAGTTGCATTCCTTTCATGAACCCCTCTGGGCCCCGCTAGCCTTATCCTCCGCGACTTTCGCCAGTGGGGCGGCAAGGGCGGAGCTGAGCAGCTTGTTGTCGCAACTCGATAGAGACAACGGGCGCGCGCAGGCAGGCTGACGGGAAACGATATCGCCAGCGGGGCCATCGCCATTCGGTAGAAATGCGGCAGCACAGGCGTTAAAACAATCAGGGGCCATGCCGTCGTTCACTAGCTAGGGGGAGGGGGGAGTGGAGGAGGGCCAGTGTAAACCCAAAACGCCGATTTTGAATTACACGCCCTCCCCTTCCAAGATCCCTTTTCACAGACCCCAACGAAGGGTTATTTCAACCGATGGAATTGCCCCGTCGGGGGGCAACCGCGTGAACATCTTGAGGCGCGCCAAAGCGCCATTCTCAGGACTTCAACACCACGAGTGAACCTGACTGCTGCGCCTTGGGGATCCGGAATCACGCAAGAACGCCGTTCCCAGGGCTTCAGCACCGCGAATCAACGCAACGATTGCGCCCTGATGCTCCACAAACGTTCCTAAACACCGTGCCCGCTGCGTTAGCCATGAAAACAAATGGAACTCTTACAATTGTTTAAGACGAGCGCGTGCGGAGCTACAGCGAGAGCCATATGTTGAAAGCGACCCGCCCTCAATCAGTGAAACTCGGGCAATTTTGCACAAAGAATATGCGGGGCGCTAAGGCGAAAACCACATGTTGAAAACGACCTGCTCGCAATCCTTGAAGCTCTCGCATTTTGTTTGGAACGAGCTCGCGCGGAGCTTAGGCGAGAACAACATTTTGACACCGACCCGCCTTCAGTCCGCGAAATCTTGTTACTTGCAAAACAATTGCGCGCGGCCCGAATGCGAGAACCACTTTTAAAGAACGGCCCGCCCTCAATCCGCGAAACACTTGCGATGTTGTAAAACCAATGCGCGCGGCGCCCATACGAAGGCCTCGTTTTGAAAACAGCCCGCCCTCAACCCGCTAGGCTCCTGCAGCTTTGCAAACGAATGCGCGCGGCGCTAAGGCGAGAACCGCATGTTGAAAACGACCCGCCATCAATCCAATAAGCTCTTGCAAACTTATGTACGGAATGCGCGCGGCGCAAAGGTGGGACCGCATCATGAACACAACCCGCCCTCAATCCGTTCAGCTCTCGCACATTTTAAAACGAATGTGCGCGGAACCGAGAGGAGACCCACATTTTGAAAACGACCCGCCTTCCACCTGTGCAAGCGCTGCCAACTTGTAAGCATCAGGGTCGCAGGAGGCGAGGAAGGCTCGACCGAAACGCCTGGCTCGCCCGTTCCGCCGGCCTCGGGGCGCGACAGGGAGGAGTTATCTATCAGGAAAAGGAATGGAGGAGGAGGTTGGGGAGGAGGAGGAGGAAGAGGAGGAGGAGAAGGAAAGGGAGGAGGAGGGGGGGGGAGGAGCAGGAGGAGGGGGAGGAGGAGGAGGACGACGAGGAGGAGGAAGAGGAGGTCCGTAGCCATTTTGGCTCAAGTCCGGAGCCGTTTTGGCACAGGACCTGACCTTACTGGCAATGGGGAGCAGCGGCCCCCACAGTGCCCCTCGTTTGCCTGGTCAGACGAGGACTTCTGGCGAGTTTTGTGAGCTCCTGTTGGGGCATTCCCTTCGGCATCACGTCCCGATGGTGCCAGCCCCTTTCCCGCATGCGCCCTGGGTCAAGCCGCAGGGTGATGGCGAGGGATGGTCTATTGCGAGAGGTCGCCGCGGCCAGGCTCAAGTCTCGAGCTTCGCCTGCCCATCCTGCGGTTGCAAGAAGAGCAGCGTCAATGCCTCGCATTGCAAGCACTGTGCTCACCCTCTCCCTCGTCTGCTTCATGGTGATGGGCCACCAGCTGGTGGTCGCTGGGCCACAGCTGGCCCCCCTGGCTTCTGGTTCGGGAACGGCTTCAGCGGCAAGGGGCCCGTCTTTCAGAACTTCGGGGGCAAAGGGGGAGGCCGTGGGCCCAGTGGCAAGAGCAGAGGCAAGGGCTACTTCGGAGGCGACCAGACGATGTGGGATGTGCTGGCCCGTCAAGGAGATGAGCGTGCTGGCGGAGCAGCAGGAGGCCCCCCTCCTCTTCCTGTGGGACCAGTGCCTGCCATCACTGCGTCCGAGGCCAAGGCCTTGGGCGAATCGCTCCAGAAGGCGGGTGATGTTGGAGCGGCTGCCAAGTACCTTGACATGGCGAAGCATCTGGAAGCGGCAGCAAAGCCCGTGGTTGTCTCGGACCACACGCGTATGCAGCAGGCTCACTCCATGGTGCGCAAGCTGGAGAAGCAAATGGAGCAGCAGCTGGGCCGTGTCACGAGGCTTCGGGAACAGCTCGTCGAAGCGGAAGCTTCGCTACGTTCGCTTCGTGTTCATCTCGACCAGGCGGATTTGGACTACAAGCAGACGCTGGCGGCCTTGCAAGGGCCCCCTCAGCCCACGGGGGAGCGGACTCAGTCGATTTCTTTCAAGCTCGAGGATTTGGTGGCAGGCGATGTGGATTTTGCCAAGATCATCGACTGCAGCCACATGCTGGAGGATCTCACGACGGACAATGATGTGGACGTGGCCGACCTCGAGCAGTTCCAGAAAAGGAAGGGGGACCTCTCGTCTGGCGCCACCAAGTTGGCCAGGGACCTCTTCGCCCAGGTCGCATCGCATGCCAAGGCTCTTCGTGAACAGCATGAAGCTCATCGACTTCGTGTGGTGGCTAAAAAGCGGAAGACCACGGAGGGTGAGGTTGTCGGAGGTTATCCTGAGGATGCTGCTGCCGCGGCTGGGGCTGGAGCAGGGGCGCCTTCTGAGGGTGCCAAGGCCGCTGCGTCAGCTGCGGGGACGGCCGAGGCTGGCCAGGCCTCGGCTGCTCTGCAAGAGGACATTCGAGCCAAGGCCGACCAGGCTCTCAAGGACTCTGAGCCCCCTGCTGCGTCTTAGAGGCGGCGGGGGGCAGGAATCTGAGGGCGGGGACCCAGGTTTGAAACCCTCCTGGGATCTTTTTAATTTTTTAGCCTCGAGAGTGTCTGTGATAGGCTCCAGGTCTCAGGCCTCTGGGGTTCGTCTCTCCAAGCGTTTAAGGTGTTTGTTTGGGTTTTGCCATCTCGGGGGCTCGTTCGACGCCCCGCTCTCCTGTGCTGAAATTCGGGTGCCCCCAGACAGCCCAGGAGCCTCTCGCATTTCCTCTCTGCCTCTGCCCGGTGCGGACGTGAAGCAGCATTGCGTGAAGGCTGGCGAAGCTCTGCGTGAAGGTTCTCCAGTCGCACGATTGCCGCAATCCGATGCCCTTTTTCCTGGTGCCAGCTCCGCCAGGGCCTGGTCCTGCATGAGGCCCGTCCCAGATGACGAACGGCTTCCAGAGACCTCAGCCCCCACGCCAGCTGCCCAGGGTGCTGCCGATGGCTGCATCAGGCTTGACGAGGGTCTTCTCGTGACTACAGTGAACGCCAACTCCTGGGGCACCCTCAAGAACTTTCTTTCCTCGGCCAGTTCGCATGTGGTTATCGCTCAGGAACATCGGCTTAAAGATCCCTGTGCGCTGGACCAGGCTTCGAAGTCGTCCAAGTTTCTGGGATGGAAAACGCTGTGGGCGTCAGGACTGCTTGGAGAGGGAGGTGGCGTCTCGTCGGGAGTTTGCGTCTGTGTTCGAGATGGACTTGGGCTTTTCGAAGCTGCTGCGAATTCTGTTCTCGTTCCTGGTCGAGCTATCGCCACCATGGTTCACGTTCCTGGTTGTGCCCCGTTTTGTGTCTGCAGCCTCTACTTGGTCCACAGTGAAGGTCTCTCGGATTCCACTAGAGAAACGTTGAGGGTTGTCGGGGAATTTTTAGACTCCGTGGGTTGTGAGTTTATCGTGGGGGCCGATTGGAACATGGGTCCCGAGGTCATCGAAGCTTCCGGGTTTGGCAAGAAGCTTAGGGCCAGTACGATTGTTCCTGAAGGTCACACCCACTTCCCCAGCAGGGGCCCTCCTGTTCGGTTTGATTTTTTCGTTGTGTCGGAGGCTCTCAGCCTCTGTCTCAAGAGTGTCTATGTTGAAGGTGACTCCAGCATCACTCCACATCGCCCAGTGTCGCTTCGTTTTCACAGCTCCCTGGGCGATCTCAAGGTTCTTGCCTTCCGCCAGCCCCCTTCGTTGCCCGTGCTCCCTCCTGTTGGCCCTGCGCCCAAGTCTGGCGACTGGAGTGCTGCGCTTGGTTTGGCCGAAGAAGCGTTTGGGGCGGTCTCGAACGGGGATGGGGAAAAAGCGCGCAGGCTTTTGAGCATCGGATACAAGTTTTGGGCTGATGCTGCGGAAAAAGACCTTGCCAACTTCCTGGGGGCCGATCTCAAGGTTTTGGGGACTAGGGGCAAGCGGCCCCAGGTTTTCTGGAAGTCTGTGCTCCGCCCAGCGGGGCGTGAGAACGATCCAGGTTTACGGTCTATCTCCTGGCTGTGTAATCAGCTTCGTGCAGTTAGGTGCTATCTCTCGGATTCGGTCTTGCAGGAGGCTGGGCGACAGGTGCTCAACTCGATCCTCCAGCCTCCGTCGGCCGTGGCGGCGCAGGAGAGCTCTGAGTTCCACTCGCTCTTCAAGGCCAGTGCGGCCCTAGCTAGATGCGCCTTTTCTCCTGTGCTGGATCCTGAGCTCGGCTCTGATCTGGACGACCTGATCGATCAGGTAGCTCAAGCCGTCGCCGCTGCTAGGGTCACCGCTGCGAATGCCTCGCGGCTAGAGTGGCCAGAGTGGGTGCGTACGGGCATTGATGCTGGTGGTCGCAACGCTCAGAGGGCCATCAAAGACCCTGAACCCTGGAAACCCTCCACCACCTTATCCAGATGTGGTACCATCGTTTGCGACCCAGTGTCTTTACTGCAGGCCGAAGGCGACAAGTTTGCGTCTATTTGGGGCAATGACAAAGGCATTGGTGTGGGCCATGACCTTTTGCCCCATGGGCGCATTTTAGAGCCTGCCGAGCTCCGATTTTTTCCAAAAAGTATCGTTCCTCCTCGGCGGCGAGCGTTGATGGATTCCACTGTCGGCATTTTAGTCTTCTCCCCGATGAGGCTTTGCATGCCCTGGCCCTGTGGTTTGCTGTTTGGGAAGCCACTGGCGAGTTGCCCAAGCAGCTCTCGTGGGTTCTGATGGCCTTGTTGGCCAAGCCGACGGGTGGGTTCAGACCCATTGGGGTCTTCCCGAGCCTGTACCGCCTTTGGGGTCGCGCCCGTCGTCAGGAGGCTCTTCAGTGGGAGCTCACCTACCCCAGAAAGTACTGGGCTGCTGGGGCCAACAGAGGAGCGGGGGATGTTGTTTGGAGGCAGGCTTTCAGGGCTGAAGCGGGCACTCGCAAGAGAGAGGTGTCGGCTTCCATTTTCTGGGATCTCAGGAAGTACTATGAGCACATTAATCTGAGGTACCTATGGCAGCAGTGCGTGCACTTTCATTTCCCGTTACCTCTGGCGAGACTGGCCATCAGGGCGTATTCGTGTGCTCGCTTTCTGGCCCTCGGGGGCATCATCCAGGGCCCTTATTTCGTTTCCAAAGGTCTGGTGGCGGGTTGTTCTTTTGCGACCAGCCTCATTCGCGTTTTTGCCATGCAGGCTTTCGATGAGGCCCTCGCTTCGGTTCCCAAGGGCCCAGGAGCTTTGACCGACTTCGACGCCTACGTCGATGACCTTAGTCCCAGCTGCACGGGACCTGCTAAGGTTGTAGTTGCCAGCCTCACGGCGGGAGCCAAGACGCTCCACCGAGCCATCACGGCGACGCTCGAGTGCAAGCTGGCCATGGACATAGTGGGAATGATCAGCAACTCCCCCGATGTTTCCAGAAAACTCACTGAGGCCTTGGGGCCTCTTGTTGGACCAGCCTGCTCTCGGGTTACCAATCTGGGTTCCGATTTCACTGCGGGCAGACCTGTTCGCTCCAAAGGGCGCTCGGCCAAATTGAAATCTAGAGCTGCGGCTGCTCTGAGGAAGACCAAAAAGCTGAAGGGCCTCCATCAGGTCCTGGACCGCAAGTGTTTGAAGGTCTTCGCGGCGGGACCGATGGCGGGAGCCGTGTACGGCTCTGACTTGTATGGGATTTCGGGCAGGGAGCTTCTTAATCTCAGAAGGATGGCCATGTCGACGGTTAAGCCCAGAGCCCAGGGCAGGTCCCTCAGTGTCTTGTGTCTTCTCTCGGATGACCCTACTTGGAGGGGCTGTTGCGCGCCTGTCATCCGCTGGGCCAAGGAGGTCTGGACCCTGCACACTCATGGGTTTCCCTGGACGTTGAGCTGGGCCGAACTAAGGGACGGCTGGAGCGCTGTCTTTGCGTCGGATGACCACTCGTGGTCCAAAGTGGCTGGGCCGATTTCTGCCCTGCGTATGACCTTGTACAGGCTGGGCTGGACCATGCCCAATTTTTGCGCCTTTGTTGACGACTTTGGCCGCGAAATCTCCTTGACCCTGTCGTCCCCTAAGCTTGTCAAGCTTTACTGTAAGGAAGCTCATCTTCGGGGTCTTGAAAGGGAGTCGGGGGACAAATACGGTTGTGGTTTCAGACTTTGCTGGGACGTGGTCAAACAGCTGATGTCTTCCAGGAAGGTTTCTAGCAAAACCAAAGGTTGGATCCGAGCTCAGGCCACGAGAGCTTGCTGGACGGCAAGCGATGTGGCAGCTGCAGGGTAAGACTTTTCTGACAAGTGCGCGCTGTGCGGCAAGGACCGCGACACCCTCTTCCACAGGCTCGTCGTGTGCCCGTCTGTGTAGTCTGTGAGGGAAGCGGTGCTTGACAAAAGTATTCAGAATGAAGCGTTGGAGCTAGGTGCAGATCATGTCGACATGTGTCTGTACTTGCACGGTGCCGTCAAACATCCTGGAGATTATGCCCCACCGCCACTCACTGAAGGAGGTAATAGCCTGGAATGGTTCGTCGATGTTCTTCCTGACCCTGGGGACCTTGCTGCTGCTCCCTCTATTCCTCCCTCCGCGGGGCTCTGGGGGCACCTCTTCATGGATGGCTCGTGCCATCGTCATGTAGTGTGTGAACTCTCTAGGGCTGGCTGGGCTGTTGTCATGGTTTCATGCTCGGGTGAGCGCCTCGGGGTTTTGAACGGTCCTCTGTGGGCCCCGTGGCCTCAGACGCCCCAGGGTGCCGAGTTTGGGGCCCTGGCCTGGACCGCTGTGCAAACCGAAGGCCCTGCCCTGTGTTATTCTGATTGTGCTAATGTGGTTCATTTAATGAACCTTGGAGCTGCCGACGGCGTCAGCGCCAGGCGGCAGTATGCGGGCCAGATCATTCAAGCTAGGCACTACTTCGGCACCAACCTAGTCTCCTTAGATAAGGTTGAGGCCCACAAAGATGCGGACGAGGAAGGGCTCTCCTCGCACGAGAGATTCGTGCGAAGAGGGAACTTCTTCGCCGACGTCTACGCGAAGGAGGGTGCAAAGCAGCACCCCTCCATGTCCCCAACGGAGCAGGAGGCCCTCGATCACCAGATTCTAGTATCAAGGGCGATCTTGCTTGCGGGAGCGGAGCTCTTGCCACTTTGGCCGAAGTTGGAGTTTCGAGGTCTGTTGCGCGGCCCTCCGCTGCTCGACTCAAAGGCCCCCATTTTAGAGCTCGTCCACGACTGGTCTCAACAAGGTTCCTCCTGGCGGTGTCGTGTGTGTCTGCGCGGTTCCCGTGCGAAGGCCAAGCCGCTGGGAGGAACGTGCCCTGGGCAATCCCGTTTGGACCAGGGTCTGTTGGAGAGACTAGGCCATCGAGTCATTGCCTTCCCTTGCAGTGACAATGGCCACCTGTACTTGTGCATGTCGTGCAAGTTTTATTCTAGCGATGAAAAGGTCCTGGGTTTGTCCCGCAAGTGCGGGCCCCCCACGGAGACAGGTTTCAGAAACTTGAGACGGCTCCGAAAAGGACTGCACCCCGATACGAGGGGTGTCTCGGTCGATATCGACGAATTCATCCCGCTTTTATAATTACAGGCAATTTGTTTGCCCTCAGTGCGCCTCTGGCTGTTGGAGCAAGCTGTCACTTTCAGAGGCATGAATGTTGCATTCAAACGAAAGAGGAAGAGGAGGAGGAACAGGGGGGGGAGGAGGAGGGGGAGGACGACACTACTACTACTACTCCTTCTACTCCTACGACTCCTACTACTCCTACTACTCCTACTACTCCTACTACTACTCCTACTACTACTACTACTACTACTACTACTACTACTACTACTACTACTACTACTACTACTGCTGCTACTACTACTACTACTACTACTACTACTACTGCTGCTACTACTACTACTACTACTACAACAACTACTACTACTACTATACTATACTACTACTACTACTACTACTACTACCACTACTACTACTACTACTACTACTACTACTAATACTACTTCTTCTACTACTACTACTACTACTACTACTACTACGATGCTTACTACTACTACTACTACTACTACTACTACTACTACTACGCGCACTCCTACTCCTACTACCACTACCACTACGACTACTACTCCAACTGCTCCTACTACTCCTACTCCTACTACTACTACTACTACTATTACTACTACTACTACTACTACTACAACTACTACTACTACCACTACTACGACGACGACGACTACTACGACTGCTACTACGACGACGACGGCTACTACTAATACTACTCCTACTCCCACGCCTACTCCTACTCCTACTCCTACTCCTACTCCTACTCCTACTACTACTACTACTACTACTACTACTACTACTACTACTAATCATAATAATAATACTACTGCGGCTACTACTACTACTAATTTTACTTATTCGACTTCTCCGGCCACTACTACTACTACAACTACTACTACTACTACTACGACTACCACGGCTACTACGACTACGACTACCACGAGTACTACTACTACTACTACTACTACTACTACTACTACTACTACTACGATTGCTACTACTACTACTACTACTACTACTGCTACCACTACCACTACCACTACCACTACTACTACTACTACTACTACTACTACTACTACTACTACTACTACTACTACGACTGCTACTACTACTGCTACCACTATTACTACTATTACTGCTAATGCTACTGCTACCTACGACTAGGACTTCTACTACTACCACGACGACGAACTGTAATCACAATTCCAACTACTACCACTACTACTATTACCATTAATAATATGGATAAAACTAGTAATCAAGCTATAACGTCTATTAATAAACAGATTACAAACAAAACGGCTACTACGAATAGTAGTTATACACATGTTCGTAATAGTATTGGTAACTCTACCAATAAGAATACCAATCGCACGCTGACTAAACTTAATAGTACGACGAATGGCACGGAAACTAATGATAAAGAACAAGGCGCCGTACTACGGAGAGAAATTGTAAGAAGCGGCGGGAGCAAGGGGAACAGGCGCGCAAGCAGGTCGATAATGTTGGCGCGCGGCGAACAGGCGGGGGCCTTCTCTGCTGGTTTAGTTCCGCCTCAGCCTTCGTCTTCTGCTGCTTCAGTTCCGCCTCGGCTCACGGATGAAGGCTTCTCGTGAAGAAAGGGCGAGGGAACCACGTGCAATTTGAGCAACGACCAATCACATATTGGAGGAAGCGTTCTCCATCCCCTCACCATCCCCGTCATTTTTTCCCCTCTCCTCTCCCTGCCCCTTCTGTCTCAGGTGTCTTCTCCCCCTGCTCTCCCATTCCCTCCGCCCCTGCCCCACTGCCCGTCCCCAGAGCCATCACTGCCGCCCACCCTTCCCCTCCCGGCATACGGCAGGTTCGTGTCGTGCCGACCCCGGCGTTGGTTTCTGACACCGCAGGGATCGTTCAACCTTGAACGATCGGCCGCTGCCGCAACGTCCAATCGTTCAACATCGACCGATTCTGGGTCGCCGTCGGCGTTCAACCTTGAACGTCGGCGGCGGGGTCGCCGCTGGTCGACACGACGCAAACCTACCGTACCCCCTCCCGCCCTTCCCTCTCGCCAAATGCGCCCCGCCCCGCCCCCCCTCCCCGAGCTTTCCCTGCCCCCCCCTGGCGCCCGACACTTCCGTCTTCTCCTGCCCCCATCCCGTCTCCCCCTCCCCTCCCTCCCTCCCTCCTATCCCATCCCTCCCTCCCTCCGCTTCCCTCCATCTCCCCCTCACCTCCCCTCTGTGCCTGCCTCCTGCCCGCCCACCCCCCCACCATCCCGTCCTACCCTGATGAGGAGGAGGACGAATGGAGAAAGTGAGAACGAGAGAGAACGAGAGAAAAAGAGAAAGAGAGAGAGAGAGGGAGACACAGAGCAAGAGAAGCAAGATGGGGAAGTGAGCGGGGATGGAGGAGGAGGGTGAGAACCGGAATGGGGAGGAGGGGGAGAACAGAGGGGAAGAGAGAGAAGGAACTGAAAACCTGTAGGATGGAAGAAGCGGAAGGGAAGGAGAAAGAGGAGGACCAGCGCTTGGCTTCGGAGGTTCGTGGCGTCCTCGGCACGCTCACGCCGAGACAGCTGCGCGATGCTGCCGATTGCGAAATCCGTGCGGCCCTCGTGGGGCCCTTTCAGCAGACCCATTGTGGAGGAGTGGCGGCCACACTGCAACCTCGCGACTGCTGTCGCGGGCGGCCAGCGCTCGGAGGGACTGGCGTTAAAATTGGTCGAGGGGCACGAGCGGTCGGAAGACCATTTCGGCAAAGGCTCCACTCTTTTGGGGTGTTGGAATCCGAAGGCCTTGGCAATCAGAGCACCAGCTTTGTTACTCTGGGCCCCTCCGGGCATTCAGAGAAAAGGCGGCGCTTTTGGGGGTGTTGGAATCTGATGGCCTTGGCAGTCAGAGCACAAGCGTTGCTACCTCGGGCAGTCTGGGCAAGGGAGGCCGTTCCTTGCGATGCCCTTGACACACCTCCTCTCTGCGTATGAAACACTGGGATTGATTCGTGGCTCGCGTTCCACATCAATGGGTTCCCAAGCGCGGGGGGCCTCCTGGGACGGAGGGGGAGGAGCCCGACGAGAGAGGCCTCGGAGGAGGGAGGCGTCGGCCCCAGGGTTCCAAGCAGAGGTGGCCGACGCGGCCCCCATGGAAGGATTCAGGCACCGCTCTGGCTCCTTCAGCCTTTTGGGGGGGCCGCCCTCGGAGCTAGTGCTGGCCATCTGGGCAAAGATCTGGCAACGTAGAACGGAAAGCATCTCAAAAGGCTGCGATCTGCTCTGAAATTCTCCAGATCGGAGGTCGAAGGCTCGTCAAGCTTGGCCGTTACCTAGGGCATGCTGTCCAGCTAGCTCGTTGGAAAATTCAGCTGCTAGATCCTGATGTGCTTGTGCTTTAACCTTCTCGAGACAGGCAGACGGCGGGGCGGTGCACTTGCCCGCCGGGATCTTCAAACCAACGCGCGCGTTCTTCCACGGGCACCCTGGGGTCGAAAAGAGCTGGAGGACGCCGAGGTAGTCAGCGCGCACTGCGGTGGCCAGGGGCGACATGCCGCAAGCGCCGACGATGGCCGGCATTTCCGCGACTCCAGCTTCGAACGTGTAGATCCCCGATTTGACAAGAGAGAATGCCGCGCGTGCCCCCGTTCCTCATGAAGACTACCGACCAGTCTGCAGCGTGGTAGGCTGGGCAAAGAAAACGATCGCAGATGCCAATTACATAGACGGGCCCAGCGAAGGCCCCTTTCCGGGGAAACTCCAAGGTCGGCGCGCCAGAGCTGGCACTGGCCCAGTCCCGCCCCAGAAAGGGGGGGCGCCGAGGCAAAGCTCGGGGGAAACCTGAAACCACGAGCCGAGCACGAGGCCCCCGACGATGGTTCTGCGGCAACTGCAACTCATGTGGGGCATGGGCGTTGACTCTGTCTGGTTCAGAAAAAGGGCGGCCAAACAGTCTGTGCCGGAGGCAATCAGACTGGGCACCGCCCGCGCAAGATTTGGCAAGGTCGCGCAGTGGAGGCCCATGCCAAGAAACGCCCTGCTTGCCTCCAGGGTGCCCTGGGCTTCTTGGGCTTCGACGTTTCTGCCGCGGGAAGCGCGACGTTCCCGCGCCAAAAATCAACGGGCGCGCCCGAGGGTCTCAGGGTTGGGCTTCTTGCGGAAGGCTTCTCGTGGTCCGAAACCATCGAAACCCAAAGAAACCCAGCCCTGCAGGCAAACGGGGCGCTTCTTGGCATGGGCCCCCACTGTGTGACGAGGCCGCGGCCCGCAGCTTCAGCTCCGGCTCTGGTCCAGCGGCCTCGGGCCAGGAACGCGGGGGGGGGGCCCGCCTCTCTCGCGCTCGGCGAAGCGAGCGCTGGCCAGAACCTCGGTCGCAGCCCCAGGGGTCTAGCGAACCTGCGCGGTGTAGCTCGGGCGCCGCTTGCCCTGTGATTTGCTTAACGCACTCGGCTCGCGTGAACCTCCGCGACAGACAGACGGCAGCCAGGCGCCAAACGGCGCATAGGCAGCAAAACCGCATCACATCGCGGCATGGCTGAGCCGAGCATCCTGAAGGGCGCGCGGGCACAAGAGTGCACGATTGGCAGCTCTCCGTGGAAGTCTAAAATGCACCCGCTCGACTGCGGACCTTACCGGGCGAGAAACAAGTGAGGGGGCGCCGCTGCCCCGATCTCCTCTGGAACGCAAGAGGCGCGGCGAAGGGCCATCCGATCCGCTGCGAGGAGAAAGAGCAAGACGCCACATGGGGCCCCTCGCGCTCCCCTAAGGGGGGGGAGGTTGGCCCTTGAAGGCCTCGCCGCGGGCCCGCAGGGTCGGCGCGGCCGGGGCCCAAACGACGCCATGCCGAACTAGGGCTGGCCCCGTCGCTAACTTCCAGCCGGGGTCCCCCGCAGATAGAAAGCTGGGGGCGCGGCGGCGCGCGGCGCACTCGGGGCCCGCTAGCTTTACATGCTCTCGCTTGGCGATTGCCAGCTGGGCATCGCCCGGGCCTGCTACTCCGCGCCCAGACTCGGTCGCCACAAACATTCTGCTGTTTTATATGTATATAAGTCTCTCCTCCAGGCGCCCCTTATAGCACCCGACATTCTCATCCTCGTCTTCATCTTGTCCATCCTCGTCTTCCTCAACCTGCCCTTCCTCCAGCGGCGCCCGGGGAGGGCGGCAGCTGTCTCGCAGCCGTGGGCGTGGCCCGAGACGTCGAGGTCGGTTCCTGCCCTGCCTCGCAATTCCCCCTGGGGCAACTTTCTCGGCGGGTCTCATTGGGCGCCGCGTTGCCGCCCAATTCCCGCTGGGCGCGGGCCGGGGGGTCCCGAGAGCCCCTGCCAAGGCTTGAAACAACTTCGCCCATCTTGGCCGCCTGGCGCTCGAGCAGGAGGTCGCGCGCGAACGCGTTGAGGTCCACGCTGGGGGCCCTGATGGGTCCAGGAGCCCACGGGGTCTATGGTGTGCATCTGTATGAGATAAGTAGCAAACTCTCATCCCGCGGCCATCCCGGATTTAATGCACCCCACGTGCATTGCAAGGTTCTGGAAGGCCGCGAACCTTGGATTCGCATAAACGCCAGACATATTCCTGAGGAGGGAGGCAAGGATCCCGTTTTTGAGAGCCCTTGTAGCTAGCTTCGATCCGTTAACACGTTCGCAACAGCTGCTGATGTCGTAGAGGGCCATGCAATACAGCAGCTTATCGTGTCGCTTGTTTTAGGAATCGCTCTCGAGGCTTTACTGCGCGAAAGCGAGCTCTACACTCGACTGTCCTACTGGATGGGCAAGAATGGGTCCGCGGCGCTGCCTTTCCCACTCGCGAGCCGCTGATTGATGTGCTCGGGCCCGCGTTCTGCGCAGACCTACCGCCGTGCCGATCGATCGCGCAGCTGGCATCAACGCTTTCGGATCCTGCTGTTTGTGCCCAAGGACGAGGACAAACGCGATGGCTCGGATGGGCGAAGGCAGCGTTCCGAGCTTCTTTATCATGAGCAACAGGTTAGTGATCGGATCAGCCTGCTGCACTGTGATCGGCAGGAAGTGTCTCGAGTGGGCTCCATCCCGCGTCGAGGCTGTCTCGGGGGGGAGCTTTTGGCGGAAGCTTGCAACATTTCTCCCGCCGAAAGGTCTGCCTGTCCAGCGGCCCTTGCCACAGGTAGTGGCAGGTTTCCAAGAGTCGAGGTTCCCTGTCCATCTGCGGGCGCAGCCGACGCCGGCCTGGCGCGACGTTTGGACCTGGGGTGCCCAAGATTTGGCAGTTTCGGGAAACTCGCTGCTGCGCTCCGCCGCGATGGCGCGGTCGAGGTCCTGGGCGCCCGAATCGACGGCCCGGTCGGCTGCGCCGCTGCGCCCCCGGATGGGGCTCCCGCCGCAGAATCTGCCGGAGGAAGTGCCCCTGACTGATGGGCTGCGACAAGCCCATCCTTCAACCTGGCGACGCTCTGGAGTCGTCTGGCGGGCCCTGCTGACGGGCGACCTGAGCAGCGCGGGGAATGAGTTCTCTTGCTGGTCGCGCAATTACTGTCGATGAGCCTGTTTCGAAGCCATTTGAAAGGGGGGGGCGCGGACTTCCAGCTGGCTCGAACTTTAGCGCCTCGACGTGTCGCACTTTGGCGCCCCGGCGTTTCGCTCGC